AAAACATAATTTAGAATCAAGAGAATTTAACGGAAAAGATTGAAAGATCGAGCCAAATTCATTTCAAGCTGAGATGACTGACCAAAGTTGAGAAGAAATCCTTCTCAGATCGAAAAAAAAACATAACGCCAAAATGAACATAATTAAAACTGACTAAAGACTAATGTAAAGACCACAGAAAATCACTATAAGAAAACTAAAACCAACATGTACATCAGTTAGCCATCGGTTAAGTAATGCTTGTCATTATAGTGTAGTTGAATTAATAGTCTACAAAATCTATGCAATCATATATAGAAGAACATACCGATGTTGTTGATTGATAGATTGTTCATGGATACTGTGAATTCGTCCTTTCAATAGAAGAGATTGACGACTCGATTTCCTATGCATTCTACCTATCGCAAGAAGCCGTCAAAGTTCCAATTAAACCTTCAATGTTTCAGTAAGGAAGTTTTATGAGACTAAAGAGGAACAATAATTTATTTTATTTTAATTAATTTCAATAATTATTAATGATAAAATTAATGTAATACATAGTTTTCTAGGATAACTTTGCAGAATAGGTGTTTTTGTTTACATTTTGCAAAATAGGTACTTTTCAATAATCATTGAACATTTTTCCTTCAATTCTCTTTTATTCTTTCTTCACCTAAAAAAATCTTATTTTAGTGAATAATTATTCAATTCGGATTAGAGATAACAATAGAGTAGTATTAAAGAAAATGATAATAAAGTTTCTTTGTCCATTGGAAAAATAAGTTAAAACTTAAAAACATGAAACAAATGATTTTATGTTTATTATTCGATTATTACAGAATACATGATTTTTTTTCTGTAACGTTTTTTTTTTTTTTATGTAGACATGTGATTTATCAAGTAGGGATTTTAAATATGTTTATGTCATTTCTATTATTGAACACATTTTTTTCTTTGGTAGCCTGTTGTTTTTTAAATAAACATCAAATTTAACAAACATATTTCTAGGTATTTCTGTCATATAAATGTCCGAATCCATTTACTATTTTTTAATATTAACATTTTTAATTATAAATTTTTTAATTATTTAAAAGTTGTGTGAAATTGTTGCAATAAGCTATGTAGCTATTTTAGTCTCCATGAGCCGTCATATGATATGGAGGTGGAGGAGATGGTTGGTTATTCGATGGAGGATCACTTATTGGTCTCTAGAGTTGCATGAATGCCCCGTTCTCCGATTATTTGCATGTTTGCGGTATGATGAACACTTGAATGTTCTCGGACCGGCTCTTGTTTTATCCCCTCGACCTCCTTCCCCTTGTTCCCAAAATCCGCTTCTAAGACTCTATACATGAACCCATGGTTTCGTTTGGTGACCCGTGGTGCAGTAACTATCCATACCACGACCCTCTAAACCGAGACCAAAATATTTGTTTTGATTATGAATCGACCCGATCTGAAATGTTTCACTATTTAAACAATATCATGAGATTTTAGACCTAGTTTTTAAGTTTGTATTATAATGTTTAATTTAAATTTGTCTATAAGTTTTCAAGCAATTCGTGAATGAAATCCATGTGCCATTTAGTGAATATTTCCTACGAAAATCCTACCAATCTTGATTTTCTACGGAACATATCTTATAAACAAATTTCGTCGGAAAATGGTAGGAAACATCTATTGGTCATAGAAAATCGGGTATTTTATATATTAGTTATGTCTTGCATCAATTTTTTATTTAGGATTTTTATATTAAACGTGAGTAGAGTCATATATATAGGAGGTAGGATATGTCAGATTAGGATGAATTAATGATTAATGATGTTTAGGTTTAGATTTTGTTATATTCTTCGCATCAAATGTGATTAATGATAGATTAAACATAATCAACTTGATCTCTAGATGCTTATAATTTCTATGCTCGAACATTTTTTTTATCATCTTGAAGCCATTCTGGCCGTGCCGACATTTTGACAAAGAACCTAACTTGATTCGCTTTCAATAGTTGAATTATCCATCTTACACTAGACGGGAGTCTAGTAGCATAATCAACATTTCTCCACGATGAAATAAATTACATTCCCAACACTTATCATAAAAATAAGGATTCTATTCTCTTAGCGATCATTTAATAGTGCCGAAATTAGCTTGGCTTTCATATTTATCTCGTTAACGCCTTTGTGCAATTCAGGTTTTTTTTTTTTAATCGTAATTAATCAAATATCAAAGATAGTAAGGCGTTTGTACTTCTTCACAATTTATGTAAAACAATATATTTACAGTAAAACCTCTATAAATTAATACTCTCTAAATTAATAACCTCTCTAAATTAATAAATTCTTCCGGTCCCGAGTTGGAACCAGTGTAAAATATGACATAAATCGATAAATTAATAAGATAATAATTTTTTGAAAATCCCATATAAACATATGGTCCCATCTATATCATAAATTAATAATTGTATAAACTTATGAATATATATATATATATATATATGATATAAATTTATATATGTCATATTTTAATTACTAGGATATATATTTAAAATACTAGGTTATGAACCCCCGCGATATCGCGGGAGAACTCATTTTCAACAAATATATTAGATTGTATTTATGTATTAAATTATTATGATAATATATTCAAATATATGAATTATTACAAAAAATTAACTCTGTTTTAAAGTTATATTGTAAATATTTTCCAAAAGATGTTAAAACAATTTATGAATAAAAAAAATTATGACTAAAGACACTTTTGAAACATTTTTTATGAATGTAAAATTATTTATAAGTGACAAAATACATAACAAAGAGTTATAATATAGAGATGAGAAATTCTAGCGGGTCAAAACTCAAAAATTCGGATGGAGTCGATACTCAGAATAACTTGTGGGTGACTAAGAACTTCGCCCAAGAATTGATGTTTCCTGTTTGCCAATCGTTCTTTAAATATAAAATTAATATTTATTCTATTATATATTTTAACGAAAAGATGCGATAAAAAAACACAGTTTAGAAAAATAACCGTCAATATTTTTACGGAAAGTCACGATAAAAAGACACAAACGAAAAAAGTAACCGTCAATATTTTAACGGAAAATTGCGATAAAAAGACACAACTGAAAAAATAACCGTCAACAAAAAAATAACCGTCAATATTTTAACGAAGAGTTGCGAAAAAAAAAACACAACCGAGAAAAAATAACCGTCAATATTTAACGGAAAGTTGCGATAAAAGGACACAAATAAAAATAGAAACCGTCGATATTTTAATGGAAAGTTACGATAAAAAGACAAAACTGAAAAAATAACCGTCAACAAAAAAAGTAACACTCAATCTTTTAATGAAGAATTGCGATAAAAAGACACAAACGAAAAAAATAACTGTCAAATTTTTAACGGAAAGTTGCAATAAAAAAACACAACCGAAAAAATAACCCGTTAGCGAAAAAAATAACCGTCAATATTTTAACGAAGAGATACGATAAAAAACACAACCCAAGAGAAAATAACCGTCTATATTTTAACAGAAAGTTGCGATAAAAAGACACAACCGAGAAAAAATAACCGTCAATATTTTCACGGAAAGTTGCGATAAAAAGACACAACTGAGAAAAAATAACTGTCAATATTTTAACGGAAAATTACGATAAAAGATACAAACGAAAACAGTAACCGCCAATATTTTATCGGAAAGTTGCGAGACAAAGACAACTAAAAAATAAGCGTCAACAAAAAAATAACCGTCTATATTTTAACGAAGAGTTGCGATAAAAAAAACATAATCGAAAAAAGAACCGTCAATATTTTATCGGAAAGTTGCGATTAAAAGACAACCAAAAAATAACCGTCAAGAAAAAAAGTAACCGTCAATATATTAACGAAGAGTTGCGATAAAAACACATCGGAAAAAATAACCTTCAATATTTTAACGAAAACTTTCTATAAAAAGATACAAACAAAAAAGTAACTGTCAATATTGTAACGGAAAGTTACGATAAATAGGCATAACTAAAAAATATCCTTCAACGAATAAAATAACCCGTCAATATTTTAACGAAGAGTTGCGATAAAAAGTCACAACCGAAAAAAATAACCATCAATAATTTAACGAAAAGTTGCGATAAAAGGACACAACCGAGGAAAAAAATAACCGTCAATATTTAACGGAAAATTGCGATAAAAAGATACAAACGGAAAAAGTAACCACCAATATTTTATCGGAAAGTTGCGATAAAAAGACCTAATCGAAAAATAACCGTCAAAAAAAAAAATAACCGTCAATATTTTAGCGAAGAGTTGCGATAAAAAACACAACCGAAAAAATAACCACCCATATTTCAACGAAAGGTTGCGATAAAAAGACGCCACCTTTCAGATGTGCAAATGGTATTTATTAGATTGCTATTATATATAGATTCTATGTAAAAAATTTAATAAAATATGACTCTATTATTCGAAAAAAGTTTGTGTTGTTTTTTTAAACTTAATAATTGCTTCTCTACTTGTAATTAGTTTTTAAAAGATATTACTTATAAAAAAAAATTATTTTTAGATAGAAATTTTTTTAAGAAATTACAAAATTAGTAAAATCTCTCTATAAATTAATAATTATTAATTTATCGATAAATTAATACCTCTTTAAATTAATAAAATTTGCTGGTCCCAATATTATTAATTTATAGAGGTTTTACTGTATATATATGTGAGAGTGTATAAGGGAGATGTGTGAAAACGGGGAACGGATTACTCCTTTTTAAGACTACTTTAAGGATAAATTGTAATTAAAATATAACAAAGTTTTGGCTAAGTGCGAATGTGGAAATAATTAATTGAGCCGCCAAAGTCAATCAACCGTTGAAACAAAAAAGCTCAAGACGAATTTAGTAGTAGTCACCGTAAAGATATATAAAATTATTCCAAATAAAAACATGACATCATAACTCATATTTATAACGTCACGTAATCATTCTCTTTTGTGTGTCTCTCTCTATATATACTCTCACAATCTTCCTTACCATAAATCACTTCACTCTACAAAACACACTTTGGTTGGCTCATCAACTATTTTTGTTTCAACTCCTTCCTCATTTTAAAACTCAACTAATTGACTCAAAAGAAAATCAAATTATCAGATAAGTCCCCAAAATATTTTGAGAATCATGCTAAAGATGGAGATTAACGGTGGGGTTGCTACACCTACTGCTTCCGCCGTCGCCGCCGTGGCAGAAACCAAAACTCCTGTTACCTCTCCTTCTCCTACCTCTTCACCTCCACCGCCACCTTCCCCGCAGCAGCCAACACCACCGCCGGTGGTACTAAGCCCTTGTGCGGCTTGCAAGATTTTGAGGCGGCGGTGCGCCGAGAAATGCGTTTTGGCACCGTATTTTCCTCCGACGGATCCGGCGAAGTTCACTATCGCTCACCGTGTCTTCGGAGCTAGCAACATTATTAAGTTCTTGCAGGTACTTTTTCTTCTTCTTTCTTTACTTGTTACACGTGTGTATCTCATATGTATATGACATTACCCACGTGTGTACATGAGTAGATATTTTTTTTTTTTTTTTTTCATGAGTAGATATTTCGCATTTGCTTATCAAAATTATAACGAGGACAATTAACACAAACATGGCTTACACTATTAATAAAAGAATTTCTACAACAGAAAATATGTAGTAATGTTTTGCAGTAATTAATACCAAGGAGTTATAAGGATAATCTAATTTAAAAGATATAAAGAGAATGATGTTTTTGTTCTTTGTATAAAATAATATATAGTTTTGAAATTTTTAAATGGAAGAAATGAAATCTGGTTTGCAAAATGTGAAAAGGAAGTTAAAGTGGTTAAAAGTCTAGTTGTTGAACAATAATGGGTTCATAAGTCATGTGACCGGAACTAGGCCCTACAATTGTAATGAAAGGTCAATAACAACCTCTTCTCAAAGCTACATGCAACATTATTATACATGTTCAACATAAAAATATACATCTCTAACCCTTTAAGAAATAAAATTAAAAGTTATGTTAAAAAAGAAAAAGGTCTATTCCATCAATTCCTTTTCATTCATAATTTGAAAAAGTCATGTAAGTTTTCTTCATGGGTCAAACATCAAAAAACAAATCCACAATGTCAAATAAAAAATTCAATTATTTCAAAAAATCAAATCCACATTCCACAACATGTCCAAGACTTTTATATCCTCTTCTAGAAAATCATGTTTTAGTGAAAGATGACATTTATGTGTTAACTTTTTTCTATAATCAGGAACTCCCGGAATCGCAAAGAACTGATGCTGTTAATAGCATGGTCTATGAAGCCGGAGCTAGGATGAGAGATCCGGTTTACGGATGTGCGGGTGCAATTTACCATTTGCAGAGACAAGTGAGCGAGCTTCAAGCACAACTTGCGAAAACTCAAGTAGAGTTGGTAGGCATGCAACTCCAAAGATCAAGTCTACTAGAATTGATATATAATATGGAGCAAACAAAGTTGTCAGCACAAGAGCAAGGACAACAAAAGATGTCCTTCGAGAGTTCACTTGAAAGCGGCGATGAGTTCATTAGTAGCCCTGACGAAGAGAGCAATGATTTGGGATTCCTTGAGGACAACAACAACAATAATTCATCAATGTCCTGGTGGGATCCTCTTTGGACATGATCATAACTTATGGTATTATTAGCTCGCTTTAAAGTGCTTTAGTGGTTACTTCCATATGCATATTAAAGACCCTAGGATATGATATATGCGGAGTTTTTTTTTTTTTTTAATTTCTCTAAGTCAACCAATTATGTATAAGCACGTAACGAAACTGCTACAAACTTGTCAAACATGTTACGTGTTAGTATTATGTAGTCATATAGATAAAATAGCGAGGTTGTATTAAGATTCTAAGAATCTTCTCCTATTGCTAATGCGAAGGAGATAATTGAGATTACGTTTTAAATTTAATGTCTAGACCGTTTTGTATATTTGTTGTTTGTTTAATAATCTTTTTGATGCTCACCGGAAACCAATAATGTAACTTTTTCACATGTATGTGACCTTTTTAATAACCGGGATAGATTTCAAGGCAAAACTATACAATATTAAATAAAATAAATTATCTATTTAAAACTATATAAAATGGATAAGAAACTAACTACTTCGATTTTTGTACGTGGAACAATTCGATCCTTAACATTGATCCACAAGACGAGTTTTAAACACATTCGAACAAAATTAGTGGACACAGCTCTTGGTTAAATCTGACGCGTGTTTTGTCATCCTCTAGTACATATTTTGTCAATAATATAAAATAAAATTTCCAAGTTCTTGAAACCATAACAATGTGAAGACGAATTAACTCCATTTCGCTAAGGACACGAAGAAGACATGACACGTCCTTGTAGACAGTAGTGACTGCTAAAGATTACGCGTTTTGCTCCATGTGACCACATGTATACAAATGTGTGTATGATCTACGTATACGCACTCATGTATGTGTGGTGTGGATATCTAAATTGTCAATAAGGTTACTGATGGAATTAACTAACAACCTCGATGTTAAAAAGAAAATCTAACAACTTTAATGATGGTGTTTTCAAGGGTAAAAATTATTTGGAAATATTGACCTTAATCATTGTGTTCCTATTGAAGTTATATTGTCTCCCAGAATTTCTCTTTAGATTATATTTGAGACCATTAGATATGTTATACTTATACATAGGGAAGTGATTCTCGAAACTTTTAATATAATACATTTCCTTAACCCATAAAAGACAAAGATATCTAAAACTTAACAATTTTTTCTAGTAAGCATATAACCAAAAAAATGTGTTTACCGACATATGTCACAATATGGCCACGTTGACTCGATACTATTTATATGAATGGTCTAATTAACATTCAACCAAAGAACAAAATCAATAGTGGTCCAAGCTATGTTTTATATTTTATACAATTTTACCAACATCATGTGCATCCCACGTGACTGTCATTACAAGCAAAGGAATATTATCTGCATCGTTTAGTTCGTTATTTGTCGGCACGAGGTCGAGATGACTATTTTTTTTTTCTTTTGGTTAACCCAAATGACTAGTTACCAATATGATCCAAGCGATGGTTGGTTCGAATCGCCTGGGACGGAAATTGTGTGTGTTGATAAGCTTGAAGAGATGACTTGAGTAATAAGTCATTAAAGAAAGTCGGTTTTAAAGATATGAAGATTTGAAGTTAACCAATAGTATTAGGAGTTATCTAATACTAGTCCTTAAAGTCGGTTAGGATTAGGGTTAATGTGGTGTCTATATAAGAGATGCCAATGTATGTGGTATTCCTTATGTGTGTGAGTTTTAGGGTTAAGATTGTATCTTGGTTTTGAGTTAGTTTCCAAGCAATAAAAGAAAGAGTCTTTTATATACACAATCTTATTCAATCCTTAAAGTGTTTTTGATACAAGACTTGATACGAGAATTGGTATCAGAGCTTTGATCACGAGAAAACAGAGTAACGATCACAAGAAGGTGATCTATTAGGAAACATGGGAGACTTGATTCCCGCGGTTAACAACAAAGACGAAGGAGGCTCTTCTTCTTCTATTAAATGTCCGATGCTAACCACAACAAACTATACGTTCTGGACTATACGTATGACGATGGCTCTAAAGGTTCATAAAGTATGGGATGCTATTGAACCCGGATCAGAGGATGCTGACAAGAACAACATGGCCAGTGCCCTTCTTCTTCAATCTATTCCCGAAGCATTAACACTTCAAGTTGGGAAGCTGAATACAGCTAAGAAAATATGGGATGCAATTAAGTCTAGGAATCTAGGAGCTGATAGGGTCAATAATGCAAGACTGCAAACTCTTATGGGAGAATTTGAGAGAATAAAGATGAAGGAGACTGATAAGATTGATGATTTTGCAGGAAAATTGTCTGAATTATCTACAAAAGCAGCAGATCTTGGAAACAATTTTGAAGAACCTAAACTTGTCAAAAAGTTTCTAAATAGCTTACCTAGAAAGAAGTACATACATATCATTGCCGCACTTGAACAAGTTCTTGATCTTAATGCAACAAGCTTTGAAGACATAGTTGGAAGATTAAAAGCTTATGAAGAAAGAATCTGTGATGATGAAGATAATCAAGATGATCAGAGCAAGCTAATGTATGCTAGTTCTGAGAATCAAAACACTCAGCAAACTTGGTCTGCAAACAGAGGAAGAGGTAATGGTGGACGTTCTTATGGAAGAGGAAGAGGACGAGGACGTTTTAGTAACCCACAGGGTAATGGAGGATACAGAGATACAAGCAAGATCACTTGCTACCGATGTGACAAACTAGGTCATTACGCATCAGACTGTCCGGATAGACTGCTAAAGCTACAAGAGGCTCAAGAAAATAAAAGTGAAAATAAGAGTGATGATACTCAACAAGCAGATGCACTAATGATGCATGAAGTAGTGTTTCTCAATGAAAGGAACGTACTACCAAGTAACTTTGAGACAAGTTTAAATGTGGAAAACATGTGGTACCTAGATAATGGGGCAAAATCATATGACAGGACATCTAGACTACTTCTCTAGCCTAGATCAAACAATCACAGGAAAGGTGAGATTCGGAGACGACTCCCGTATTGACATAAAAGGAAAAGGTCTGATCACATTTATAACCAAAACTGGAGAAAGAAGATCATTACCTGATGTCTATTACATACCTGAGTTAAAAAGTAACATTGTGAGTCTAGGACAGGCTACTGAAGCTGGATGTGATGTTAGAATGAAACAAAATTACCTAACTTTGTATGACAGAGAAGGTAAGTTGCTAGTAAAAGCAACAAGGTCAAGAAACAGACTTTACAAAGTAAGTCTTGAAGTTGAAAGTCCAAAATGTCTGCAACTTGTGATATCAAATGAATCAAGAATATGGCACGCAAGACTAGGACATATCGGAACAGATGCATTGAAGAGCATGATGCAGAAAGAATTAGTCATGGGTCTCCCACAATTTGAAATTGAAAAGGAAGTATGTGGCTCATGTCTACTTGGAAAACAAGCCAGGAAATCTTTTCCTCAAGCAACAGCGTTTAGAGCTTCTGGTAAACTTGAGCTCATACATGGGGATCTATGTGGTCCTATTACACCTTCAACTGCAGCACACAACAAGTATGTTTTTGTTCTAATAGATGACTATTCAAGGTATATGTGGTCAATTCTTCTAAAAGAAAAGAATGAAGCGTTTCAGAAGTTCAAAATCTTCAAAACCAGCATTGAAAAGGAAACAGGTACTACGATTAAGACACTCAGAACAGACAGAGGGGGAGAGTTTGTGTCTCAAGAATTTCAAACATTTTGTGATACCACAGGGATCAAGAGACACTTAACAGCACCTTATTCTCCACAACAAAATGGGGTAGTTGAAAGAAGAAACAGAACATTAATGGGAATGACAAGAAGTCTCTTAAAACACATGAGTGTACCAAACTACCTATGGGGAGAAGCAGTAAGGCATGCCACATATCTCATAAATAGAGTGTCAACAAGAACTTTGTTAAATCAGACACCATATGAAGCCTTCTGGGGAAAAAGGCCAAACATAGAACATTTGAGGGTTTTTGGCTGTATTGGATATGCTAAAACAGAAGCTACCCATTTAAGGAAGCTAGATGATCGCTCAAGAATGTTAGTTAACCTAGGAACTGAACCAGGATCAAAGGCTTATAGACTATTAGATCCTACAAAGAGGAGAATTGTGGTAAACAGAGATGTAGTGTTTGATGAAAGTAAAGGCTGGAAATGGAATAGCTCAGAGAATGAAACTAATAACAGTCCAGGGATGTTCAGTTTGGTATTTGGAGAATTCGGAAATAACGGTATAAGAGAAGAAAATGTTTACACTGAGACAGAAAACACTGAAAGAGATAATGGCAGTGACAGAGATGAGGAACCTGGTGAAGAAAATATTGAAAATATTGATACTGATACTCATGACATAAGTTCTGAAGAAAGAATGGAACAACCACAGCCTAAACTAAGAAGATCAGGAAGAGAAACTACTAAACCAAAGTATCTGAATGATTATGTTCTGTTAGCAGAACTTGAATGTGAACGACTCCTTCTTGCTATAAATGAGGAACCATGGGACTATAGTGAAGCAAAAGAAGGAAAAGAATGGAGGGAAGCGTGTGATGAAGAAATTTCCTCAATAACAAAAAACAAAACTTGGGATCTAGTAGATCTCCCTGCTGGAATAAAGCCAATTGGGCTCAAATGGGTGTTCAAAATCAAGAGGAACTCTGATGGAAGCATTAACAAATACAAAGCCAGACTAGTAGCTAAAGGCTATGTACAGAGACATGGCATAGATTTTGATGAGGTTTTTTGCTCCAGTAGCTCGTATAGAAACAGTACGTCTCATTATTGCTCTTGCTGCATCTAATGGGTGGGAAGTACATCACCTTGACGTGAAAACAGCTTTTTTACATGGAGAATTGAAAGAAGAAGTATATGTGTGTCAGCCTGAAGGTTATGTTACAGAGGGAGCAGAGAACAAAGTATATAAGCTGCATAAAGCTCTTTATGGGCTAAAACAAGCCCCAAGGGCATGGAACAACAAGCTGAATCAAATACTTATGGAACTACAGTTTGTGAAATGTTCTAAGGAACCTTCACTATATCAAAAAAGGGATAATGAAAATCTTCTTGTTGTGGCAGTATATGTTGATGATCTACTGGTTACTGGTTCTAGTTTGAACATGAT